TTTGATACCCAAATCATCGGTAACGCGCTGTCTCATCTTACCAATTTGGAGACATGACGTTTTTTCTACGTTAAGCTGAAGACCGGATATTTTTGAAAATGTTTTGAGTTCGTGCAGTGCGCCTCTCAAACATTCGGTAGAATCCTTAAGAAAGAGTACAGTGTCGTCTGCATATTGAGCCAATCGTACTTCAATATCTTCTCTAAGTTTGATACCAGTAATTTTGTTTGAGTTATTTATTTGATTTGCAAGTGTGTTTACAGCAAGGTCAAAGAGGTATCCAGATACCGGGTCACCTTGTCGTATTCCACATTTTAAAAATATTTTCCCCCCTATAAATCCATTTAAAATAACTCTGGAGAAGTTCTCATGGTTTAAATACAGCGTTTTGATGATGTTCTGCAAGTATGGTCCGAAATTGTATTGTCCTAGTACTGCTAATAAATAGTCCCACGAAATTGAGTCAAAGGCTGCTTCAAAGTCTGCTGACATGATCAATCCAGATTCCTGATTGTGTACCACGCTATTGATAACGTCATATACTATGCGGGTGTTTTCTCCGATGTACCTTCCTTAAATGTACGCGGTTTGACACCTACGTAACCAAAGCTATCAAGCTCGGCATTCATAACAAAATTAAAATCACCTCCTACAATAATGTGATCACAATCGACCTCTTCAAGAATTTCGTCTAAGCGGGAGTAAAATTCCGGATCGTCTCGGTTCGGACCGTATATACTGCCTAACAAATATGTGTCGGTGCCTATCTTACATTGTAATATTACATAGTTTCCATTTTTATCTATGAATTGTGAGTAAATGTCATGCTGTAGATTATTGTTTATGAGAATTGAAGCGCCTCTCGAATTGTTTGTGTAACAGGCGTGATGCGACTTGCCATTCCACAATAGATTAAATGATGATATTTTTTCCTGTGTTATGTGTGTGTCTTGCAGAAAGATTATGTCCGCTTTCATGCCTTTCAAGTAATGCATGACGTCTCTACGTTTGTGTTGAGACCCCAGCCCTCTAGTGTTTAAAGTTATTATTTTCATTTTGCTTTCTGTTATTTTTCTAGTAGTATGCGGCAGTGTGTCGTGTGTGGCTCTCTGGTAATGTGCACGTACTTGTTCGGGTGTCTGTGTAATAATGGCAATGATGGCGTATTCCGTGGCGGCAGAGTGCGGTGCTGGGACGTGGGTTGGGACTTACCAAGGTTCGGGAAATTGGTGTGGAGGGTTCGGGACACGACGCTGCGACGATCGGCAACTAGAAGCAACGCCAGCGAACACCAGCGCCGGCGGAGGAGCAGGCTGCGCGCCGCGCCGGTCCACCCAGCCACCGCCCCCGCCGCCAGGAACACCGCAGGACGGGCCGCCGCCGCCGCCGCCGCCGCAGACAGTGCATAGAGGCCCGTCGAGGGGTGGAATCTGTCAACAGAAATCGGCCAAGCACAGAAAGGAGACAAAACACTTATATATGGCGCACTGTGAGTCACAAATACGTACAGCGACATCCTAATGAAAAAGATCAAGCGGAAATATTTACTAACATTTAGCACCAATGCTGAGGGGGTGACACCTATCACAATTTCGACGGGTTGCAAAAAAGACACAGAGATAGATATCGTAACAGGGAGAAGAACACAATATACGGGTAACTGAACAGACACGATAAAACTGGCACGGTTACAAATATTCTGATCCTGCTGACCTATCTGCTTCATTCCTTTACAGGGAACTTGAGCTCACGGAGCTTGTCCAACGAGTCTACTCTGGTACTGGTGCCGAATTTTTCGGCTTTGTAATGAACATGTCCCCACCTTGTGTAGACTGTGTAGATCTGTTTGGTTTTCTTCGCCTCCAGAAGAGAGCGGTAGATCACGTTCTTCTGTGCCGTGAGACTCTCGTTGATGAAGAGATCGTTGTGTCCTCGTAGTTCTAGTCGTCTGGCCATCAGCTGGTCGCGCACACTTCCGGGTCCCGAACGCACGAAGCGAACGATTATCTTGTTGTTGGGACCCGGGAGACGGTGTGCTCGGTCGATGTCGTCCTCCGTGATGTCAAGGCCGGGAAGACGGGCACGTACAGCACTGATCACGAGATCGTAGACGTCCTCCGTCTCACCCGCGCCCCGCCCGCCGCCCGGGCGCTCGTTACGCGCCCCGCCCGCGGCGCCGCGGCCGGGCCCGGCCGGCGCGCCAGCTGACGCACGGTCAGCGGGGCCGGCCGCCGCACCGCCCGGAGGCACGGCCTGACCGGCCGGCGGCAGGGCAGCTCTCTGATGACTCCAAGCTGACCTCTGTGACCTGATGTGTCCCAGATGACCTCCAATTGAGCTCTGTGATGACCCCAAGTTCACCTCTGTAGCCTGACGTGTCACAGATGACCTGCGTGATCTCCAATAGAGCTCTGTGGTGGCCCCAAGTTGACCTCTGTGACCTGACGTGTCCCAGATGACCTCCAATTGAGCTCTGTGATGACCCCAAGTTGACCTCTGTAACCTGATGTGTCCCAGATGACCTCCGTGACCTCCAATTGAGCTCTGTGATGATCTCAAGTTGACCTCTGTGACCTGACGTGTCCCATATGACCTCTGTAACCTCTAAGTGACCCCTCTGATGACTCCAAGCTGACCTATCTGACCTGATGTGCCCCAGATAACCGCCATGACCTTCAATTGAGCTCTGTGATGACCCCAAGTTGACCTCCGTGACTTGACGTGTCCCAGATGACCTCCGTGACCTCCAATTGAGCTCTTTGATGACCTCAAGCTGACCTGTGTGACCTGGCGTGTCCCAGATGACCCCCAATTGAGCTCTGTGATGGCCCCGAGTTGACCTCTGTAACCTGACGTGCCCCCAAGTTGCCTTCTGTGACCTGACGTGTCTCAGATTACTTCCGTGGTCTCCAATTGAGCTCTGTGATGACCCCAAATTGACCTCCGTGACCTGAAGTGTCCCAGATGACCTCTGTAACTTCCAATTGTGACCTCAATCTCCAACTCTACTAACTCTCTGTGACCTCATACTCTCTTAACTCATTTCTTCTAAAGCATCGCTTCTAGATGCCCTATAGCGCCACGAATCTCCTGTGATCGATCCCAAAATTCATGGCAACTAACGTGAGCGTTAGCAACCACAAGTCACCCAGTTGAGACAAAGCTTCAGAATCAGAGAACATGCTTGAACTGGCTGTCTCATAAGCTCGCAAACCAGAAGGGCGAATGTTCCTTTATGCTTGATAGAGTTTTCGACCTTACTGACGCTTACTACGGGATCAGCTGATCGTGTAGCCTTTTAAATTCTCGAGTAAAGCGGGTATTTAAACCTTGTCGCAGCTACGTTCTGTCGTATCCTCCGACAAACCCCTCTTTCCTCAACATCCCTCCTTTTTCGCTACGACACAACTTGCGACGGGACATGTGTCGTAACTTGCGACGTGTCGTAGATGGACTTGCGACGCCCTGGATCCCCCCGGCCATAATCAGTATCACCAGCTACCTGTAATGGTATACTGTACCGCGTAACACCTCAGCAGCGTCTGCCTGTAATGGTATACTGTACCGGCTAACACCTCAACAGAATCTGCCTGTAATGGTATACTGTTCCGTCTGACACCTCAGCAGCATTTGCCTGTAATGGTATACTGTACCGTCTGACACCTTAGCAGCATTTGCCTGTAATGGTATACTGTACCGTCGGACACCTCAGCAGCATTTGCCAGTAATGGTATGCTGTACCGTCTGACACCTCAGCAGCATTTGCCTGTAATTGTATACTGTACCGTCTGACGCCTCAACAGCATTTGCCTGTAATGGTATGCTGTACCGTCTGACACCTCAGCAGCATTTGCCTGTAATGGTATGCTGTACCGTCTGACACCTCAGCAGCATTTGCCTGTAATGGTATGCTGTACCGTCTAACACCTCTTCATCCACTTGTAATTGTATATTGTACCGTCTAACACCTCTCCATCTGCCTGTAGCGGTATACTGTACCGTTTAAACACTTAACTGGAGTTTTAAAACTTTAACTGGAGTTTAACACCTCCGCAACATCTCCCTGTAATGTGCACGGTGCCGTCAAAAACTATATGCAGCGCAATCTGAGCACAAAAGGAAAAAGAAATACCATCTCCACAAAAATGAACCATGCAATTCTGCATAGAAGTGTTCAGACATTAAGCATTTTGTTGAATGCGCAATTTTTGCCCTCTTGAATAATGTCTGAACATTTTGTGTTTTTACTTTTTCCACCCGCTACATTCTGTATTTCCACTTAACTTTAAGATTAAGTGTCGCGGTTGCTGTGTGCAGACGTGAGTGAACAATGGTGCGTGCAACAAAACTATTGTTCTGCATACGGTTTATGCGCGACGGAATCGTTCAGCTATTGGATCGCCTGGTGCTCGGACTAATGGACACCACGCCTTCCCCAGGGCGGCGTTCATACGGTGCACTGCCCCACTCGGCGAACCAAGCGGGAAGCAAAGTACCGGGCTGTGCCGACGCGCCTCTTGTTGCCCGCACCATTACCGAGCACCCTATTTATTCCTGATGGCTCGCCGAGACCGGGCCGGCCAGCGGCTCCATTTGGGCGGCGCGGCTCGTTAGTTTGCCGTCGGCACGCGGCGGTGCAACGTCTCTGATCCACCGACAGCGGACCCGCGGCCGACATTGATCGAATCACGGTCCGCGCACCGAGGGCCGGCGCCGCCGCGACCCCGGGGGGCCGGCGGGACAGAGCGCACTGCCACACACCTGGTGAGCGGAGACCGCACTCACCGGGAGGCCAAGGGAACAGCACGGCTGGGTACCGACCTGCTCTACCTTCTGCCGCAACACAGCGGCTTCAGGGCTGCTGTGCTGAGTTAACGTATGGCACACATGCATGCGTAGACGATGCCTCCTCGGACAGCGCTTCCGAGGAGGCATCGTCTACGCCGCAGCTAGCACCCGCGCTGAGCTGCCATTCATGCCTCGCGTATGTTCATACGCACCTGTTGTTGACGTCGCTGTAGACGGACGCCCTCGGGTAGCAGAGGCCGTGCTCCTTGATGGTCTCTCGGCCGAACGACGTCTGTCGGCCCCGACGCGGCTCCTCCGACGCGAACAGCTGATTGTTGGGGTACTGGGCGGCCGTATCCCGCACCTCCAGACCGTTACAGGTGCGGATCAGCACCCGACTGTAAAGGTAGCAGGCCAGGATCAGCACACGACTGTAAAGGGAGCAGACCAGGATCAGCACCCGACTGAGGACTGTAAAGGACCAGACCAGTGAGGATCAGCACCCGACTGTAAAGGGAGCAGGCCATTACAGGGGATCAGCGCCCAAATGTAAAGGGAGCAGACAAGTGAGGGTCAGCACTTGACTGTAAAGGGAGCAGACAAGGATCAGCACTCGACTGACGACTGTAAAGGACCAGACCAGTGAGGATCAGCACCCGACTGTAAAGGGAACAGACTAGTGAGGATCAGCACCTGACAATAAAGCAGCAGACCATTACAGGGATCAGCACCCGGCTGTAAAGAGGTAGACCAATATAGGTGCGGTCAGCACCCCACTGTAAAAGGTAACGGCGACAGAACAGAGCACCGATTCAACCGGCGACAGCGTCGAAACGCTCGGTCGTTGGAATCCCCAGAAGTGAGGGTTGGGCACGTCCATAGCGTGTGGCACAGCTCTGCAATCGACATGCAATGCGCACTAAAAAATGTGCCCTTGATGTCGTCCTCATTGCTTAAATGATGGTAACTTTGAAAGGAAATAGGTAATAATTGAAATAACTATGGCTAAGCAAGAGTCAATACATTTGTTTTTATATTAAAAATGAGGCGAACCTCAGAAGCAAAGTAACTACGCCCCTAACAAATCAGCAATCGAACGCGATTAACTTCCTGTAATAGCTCTGAAACGTGTGTAGTTATGTTCTACAATTCGTAACGTATGTACGTACATATTTCAAAAGAACCTGCTATCTAAAGCATGTGACGTCCCCACGCAGCGGCGAGCACGGCTCAGTGTCTTTGATCGATGTGTGGGCAGGTCGTCCACACGCCGGTGTACACTCAATTACCGAGCCGTGTGCTCTATGCCGGTAATTGCCGGCTGGAGTCGGCGCGCCCCAGACCTGTTCCCAATCAATACGGACGTGTTTACCCAGCGTATTGGGATCAGTGAGCGCACACAGTAATACAAACAGTACCGGCGTTGTCATGGCGACCGGAGATCAGACGGCGCTCCCTGATTGGCTGTCAACAGAGCAGACTGAGACGCCGTGAGCCGCCTCCTCGCATTACCGATCACTGCTCTTACTCTCTGGGGAGGCTTAGTGAAACGCATCCAATATCAATCGGACCATAAACACTTTTATCAGATTGAAGTAGATAAGAACTTTTTTTCAGTTTTCTGAGAAAAAAATGCATGCATTTGATAAATATCTTGTAGGTATTTATGAAAAAGGCATTATTGACATGACGATTTTGAAAAAAAAATGTAATCTAACTTCAAGAACGCAGATAATATCCTCAGCCCATTGACAGCCCTGTTCACTTTTTCCTGCCTTGGCTGACGGTCGGTCCATCTAGCTATAGGCCTAAATGAGGGGCAGACCCGAAAGGGAACACTGGCCATCCGTGATGACCGTTTTAGATGTCTTTGTGGTAGGTATATATGTAGGTACGTAAGTACCTACCTGCGACACGCCCGTACGTACCAACGGAATGGGCTCAGCCGCTGCGGCGCATATATCAGTGGTCGACTCAACCCAGCGTCTTGTCCTAGCGCCATACTCGTACGTAGGTATGTCTTTAGTTTATCATCTCATCCCATACCCCTGAGATAATTTTACTGGTATGAAAGGAGAAAAACAACAAACAAACACAAAGAGCACACGCCACACATTTTGTGCACTGTAGACATAACGCTATGCATTTTAGGAAAAAGGTTGCAGGCATATGCATTGTCCCTAAACAGTGCGTTAATTATATATTTTCGGTTGGTTCCCCCCCCCCCCCCCCCATCAACTAGGCGTCCAAGCCGACACCACCGGGTTAAGGCGTCCGGTGTGACACCTCTCAAACACAGAACAAATAGCCGAGCAGACAGACGAGATCACTAGATCAATTCCAGTGCCGTTTTCAGTCCCATTTCGCCCCCAGTTAGTCACGTTAGGAAAATACTCCATTATCGTTACGCATGCAGCATATGATCAACAATAAAATGCATTGGGAAACACGTGTCGTTCGTTTCTCAGTAAATAGTTTAAACAGCAGCAGGCACGATTGCGATGTGAGCGGTTTGGAATCGAGCGCACCGGTAATAAAATGTAGAGACAAGGTGACACGAATCCCTCTCTCTCTCTCTCTCCCTCTCTCTCTCCCTCTCTCTCTCTCTCCCTCTCTCTCTCTCTCCCTCTCTCTCGCTCTCGCTCTCTCGCTCTCTCTCTCTCTCACTCTCACTCTCACACTCTCTCTCTCTCTCTCTCTCTCTCTCTCTCTCTCTCTCTCTCTCTCTCTCTCTCTCTCTCTCTCTCTCTCTCTCTCTCTCCCCCTGCCTTTCATTCTCTGTGTTCTTTCTTTCATCATTCTTTTCTTTTGTCTCGTCAGATTCAGCATAAGATGCACCATGTCATGCCGTTTCAGTTTCGTATGCATGGTCGGTCATTGCTAAATGCTTACATCCACCAATGCACGCACTCTTCACACATTGGTAAATGAACTGTGCAAAGTGCATCATAACTCGGTGAGGTCAATCACGTGAGGCACGATGTGCTCCTCCACTCGTGCCGCTGGTTGCCCACGCGTGCTGAGCGGCTGAGGTGTCTCAGGCGTCACACGCCGCCACAGGCCGTCACACGCCGTCACACGCCGTTACAGGCCGTCACACGCCGTCACACGCCGTCCCAGGCCGGCCGGCGGTACCCACTTGGGACTGGTAGCCGGCCAGTGGGGCTGGTGGAGGCGCGCTGCCGGCCCGGCCGGGCTGCTGCTGCTGCGCGGCCCGTGCCGCTGCTGTCGCTGTCGCTGCCGCTGCTGTCGCCGCCGCTGCGTCTGGCCGGCCAGCTGACGGGCGCAGTTTGAGCTGCGGCCGCGGCGGGCTGAGCTGCGGCCGCGGCGGGCTGAGCTGCTGCTGAGCTCCGGGACAGAGCCGCCAATCAGCGGCAGGGGCGGCGCCGCGCGGCCCGCCCGAGCAGTGTATTGATGAGGAGGGTCGAGCGATCAGCACCGCGGATGGCGAGCAGACGGCTCAGCCGCGGCCACCTCATCAGCCCGGTCAGGGCGCGGTGGATCAGCGCCGCATCAAACGCACACCACATTCACAGAACCAAAAACGGCTGACATAACGTGTGTATGATATGCTCGGCTGTCAAAGGGAAAGAGCTGCCAACAGACGCGATATTCGCTACCCAGTACAATGCGTCGTGATTAAAACCACATGCTCTAACAGCCTCAACTACATTCGTTCACCATACCGTATAGGGCGTAGACTAAACTGTTTCTTATAACGGTACAAATACCTATAGCAGCAGACTGACCTGTGTTTGTCGTATTTGTTGTACCGTACACTGACCTGTGTTTGTCGTGATTGTTGTACCGCACACTGACCTGTGTTTGTCGTAAGTGTTGTACTGGGGCCGCCGCATCACCAGTAGCCGCGGCAGGATGTGGATGAACACTCGCCGCACCCAGGGCGCCATCGAGTGCGTTTGGGGCGACCGGAAGTGTATGTTGAGCACCACCACCGTCACGCATATACTGAAATGTAGGACAGACGCTCAGAAAACAATATTCTTGAATGCTGAAACTTTGCGGTTTCGGTACTTTCAATATCGGAATTGATAAGTTATCCAATATTTACCGTTTTTCCGTCTATTGAATTCCATCCGTTTGAATGTTTGTTAACCTTCGCCCCAGTGGGGGGGGGCATATGTTAGGGGAAGTTGGGGGAACGCCGAATACTTTTTTTCTTACGCCCGTAGCACGCAAGGTAGACAACATAAGCTATTCTTGTTGGCGTCATTCGAGAGGCCAGTCTTTTGCCTTTCAAACATACCAGGCGCATTTGATGAATTCGCATAGCGTTAAGCGCACAAACTAAAAATATCAAAGAAGTGACTTTTCGGCGTTGCCCCGGACTGCGGGGAAAGCCGAAAAGGGGAGAAATGATCTACGGGTAATACCGACATTGATGTTTTGCCACTTTATCTCAAACTTTATCCATAATTTATCAAAGCTGACACGCGTTTTAAGAGCTTGAGGACGCTTGGTGCACACTGGAAGTTATAATTGTGTGATGTAATAAAAAAAAAATGCCAGGTAAATAATTCCTTATAGGTAACAGGCCGTTGTGTCGGTTGAAAGTGTAATTTGTGTGACTAAAAATTCGCGTTGCTATTCTACAGCAGTAAAGTCCACGTAGCGTGCTTTAACGTGCGTAATTGCACGTTTTCGGCATTACCCCAGCCAGCCATACTTTCATTTGCAGGCCCATAACTTTTCAACGTGCCGTATAAATTTCAAATAGGCAGCACACTTATGCAAAGACATGCTGAAGATTACTTGACCGAATTGGCCAGACAAACGGTAGCATAATGATTCTTAGGTGTTGTTTTTTTTTTTTAGCATAATGAGTAAGAAATGCAGCTTCAAAGGCGCATGTAGTACAAGGAACGCGTACCTTGAAAACGCTCTTGGCGCCCTCACAGCCGAAGTATTCCGAATGACGACTCGTAACAAACATGCGATAATTGTAGTCACTTAAGCTTCAGAGCATCACTGACAGGTGGCATCCATGTCTTACGGTTTTCGAAATATCTCGAATTTCGGCTTTGCCCCAACTCCGGCATTGCCCCAACTTCCCCTACCACCCTCTCGCGTTTTTTGCGTGTAAATAAAAAAAAACGCGGCGCGCAGCGCCGCGCCGCTTGGGGTAGCTTTTTGTACATCAATTTTGGACAATGTGTGAAATTTTTGACCCCAGGTCATGTCAGGTCAGGTCACCAGGTCAAGTTAACTGACCAAGCCTAAACAAGTTTGCAATCATGTCCAGCCTGCAGTGTTTGTCAGAAAGGTTTCAAACTTGGTGGATTGCATGATGTTATGGGCGCCTACAATTTGTATATCTCGGATTTTTTATATCCGTGACCTAAGGTCAGGTCAGTGGCGTGACCTTACCATTATAAGGCAATGGAGAAAAATGAAAATGCCTCTAAATCCGTGTGTATGCATAGGAACAGTCCAAATATTTCAGAATCACAATAATTTGGACCACCCGTGACGACCAAGGTGTGTTTTTTAAGCTGATGGCCTCTAGGAAGATCATCCGAGGTCATTTGAGGCTACAAACAGATTTTTGCCAATAACTCTCGATTGGAGAGAGATAGGACGCTGGAGATGGTCTCATTGTGTTTGTCTTGTTGAGACGCATCGAATGATATGCAACATGACCTTTTCCGGTCAGGTCATGACCTTGACCTGAGGTCAAATTTTCAAGTTGACTTTTCAAGGTCAAATTATAGTTCATTCGACGCGTCTCGTCGAGAGGAACACGATTCTGGCAATAGAAATGTCCTAGCTGGTTTTAGTCAAAAGTTATTGTCGAAAAACACATTTCGTAAAAACAGCTATTTTTTAGTTTTTGCCCTCTGGAGGCTAAACCGTTGACCTGAGGTCAATTTTGGTAATGATTTTATCAAAAGAAGAGTTCAAAAGCTATCGATTGCTTTTTTATGCGTTTTTCTAGCTATCATAGTTCCTGAGATAAATGCATGTTTTCTGAGAAATATAATGACATTTGGCAAATTTTGACCTTTGATGACCTCCAGTGACCCCAATATTGCTCTAAGATGGAAATGACCTGAATACTTTCAAACGTACGCATTGAGAGCTATCGACTGCTTTTTACCGCATCTTTCTAGCCCTCTTAGTTTTTGAGTTAGAGGTGGGTGGTAACATATGCCCCCCCCCCCCCCCCACTAGGGCGAAGTTGGCTGAGACCGCCACTGGGGCGCGGGTTAAAGGGGCAGCCCTGCTGCGGCCAATGGAGAGTATTTGGATAGCACATGGCCAAAGCCAGGTTAAGCCAAAGATGGTTTTGACAAGTTACAGAAGGAAGCATTCAAACAGAAATATCTAAGTGCCACCTTATCAGATTGAGGGAGCAGCATTCCATCGTATTTCTGATCCCTCGGCCACCTACCTTAGCGTGTCGAGTATCATTGTAAAGAGGACGAACTTTCCAAGCAATGGCACCACCAGTGACGTCGGAGGAATGATCTCGGCCAGTAGCAGGAAGAACACAGTCAGTGACAGCAGTATGCTGATTGACAGACTGACCTGTCGAGCGGGCAGAGAGAGCGCACAAGGTCAAAGACGGAACACTCACACTGGGTCAAAGAAGATCACGGTTAGCGACAGCAGAATACTGATTGAGAGACTGACCTGCCGAGCGGATCAGGGAGCAGAGAGGGTCAAAGGCGGCGGGAATATGACATACATATATTCACAGCTCTATAAATGACTTAGCGGTCATAGGCAGGACAAGAGAAAGGTTATACTTAAGTACTCACAGCCAACAAAAAAAGTAATTTAAGATTACACGTGACATAAATACAATTAAAAATGGTACGATTTGGTTCATTGTGTAACATAGGTTCACAGAATTAATCCCGTTATCTAATTAGATTACATAGCAGCGTAGCAAATATTGTGTTCGGTTTCACTCCATCAAACACCAGCTCCCTCCCGTCAGAGCGGCGCGGCACACAATCCATAAATCCCCGCCGCGTCTGTGACGTATCAGCGGGTACATTTGTCGGGCGGCGCCCAACAGCTCCCCTCAGAAGTCTCCCGGACAGCCGTGGGCGTCATTACTCCCCGCCGTTTGGGCTGCACTCTGCGACCAGTAATTATGGCCAACGAGCAGGACAAAGGATCGGCTGCACAGCAGATGGGCGCTGAGGGACGTGGTCACGTGCGCGCCGGCCGCCGTGACCCACCAACGGCCCCTGCACGGTGCTAGGCCGGACCGTGACCGTGACATTTACCGTGACTCTGACAGAGACCGTGACCGTGACTGTGACCGTGACAGTGACAGCGCCATTGATCGAGACTGTGACCTTTACCGCCATGACTGTGACTAGACCATGCCCGTGACTCTGACCGAAACCCGTGACCGTGACATTGACTCTGACCGTGACTGTGAACGTGACCGGAGGCTGCTAACGATATACTGGCAATGTGTCTGCTGCTATTAGCTGTCCTGCCAGGCTGCTGTCCCCCTGTCCCGCCGGGCGCCTGTCCCGTCATGGTCCTGGTCCGTCATGCTCCACTGGAGCACTCCACTGAGTCGAGTGTTCCACGGTCCCGCCGGGCGCTCCTGCTCCACGGTCCCCGCAGACTGCTGTCCCACTGTCCCACCGGGCTGCTCTCCGTCGGGCTGCTCTCCGACTGTCCCACCGGACTCCTGTCCCATCAGGCTGCTGTCCCACCGTCCCACAGGACCTCTCCCCCGCCGACCGCTGTCCCGCCGGGCCCGGCCGTCAGAGAGATCGGCAGCAGGCCGGCCGTAATGGAGAGGCGTCGTCAAAAATGGATATAAATCGAGCGGTATTCCGTCAGCCGCCGCCGACTCCGACGACCGACTATCCGGCAGCCGCGGCGTGGAGGCGCGACGCCGCGGTACGGCGCCCGTCCCAGTGGCGTGGGCGACGCACTGCTGAACAGCGAACAGTATACGTGCAATACTAGTTACATATAGCTGTTTTAAATACTGGGATGCATTATACGTTGCATCACTTGTTTACAAAATCATCAAGTTTTCATGAAGAAGCAGGAGGTTCATCTCTAAAAGCAAATGAACTACCGGGCTTCTCAAAAAAGTTAGACGATTTTATAACTTAACGTATTGAAGGGTGTATCAGTGTAACAAAACATAATTGGGTATCACCTAAAAGCCTCATCAAAGACATTTCGTTTGAGGGGATTTCGATCCTCGGCAGTCGACTTTCTGAGCCGCGCCGAGGTCATGTTCGAGATGATCCCCTTTTTGCTCGATGCACAGTTAAGCCCGGCGCAGCGCGACCTCTGTTGCAGCACTACTACCCACGGAAAGCTGCATACGGCACACCGCTGACTTCACTGCATCCTTATGATCTTCGGAACCTTTTGGGTGGTTTCGGTACACCTGGGACTTGAGGTGGTCCTACAGGAAAAATTCCGTTGGGGTTACGTTCGGAGAATTCGCCGACCACGGGCGTGTCTCGAACCTCGAGATCACGCGCTGCCCGAAGCGCTCCCACAGCCCCTCCCGGTTTTCTTTAGCGGTATTGGCGTGGCACCGTCTTGCTGTAACCATTGGATCTTAAGCGTTACCGGATCTCTGCTCATCCTAATATTGCAGAACCCTCCAAAACGTCGCCAGAGCCACCCGATATCGCTGACCATTAACAGTCTGAGTAGCGCATCTCTCACACGAGTGGTGTTCGCCGTGAGCCTTTGATTGGGTTTATGGCCGCCGCTGTGTTCCTTGAATTGCGTGAACCTATGTTAACACTTCCTCGAGCCAGAAACTTGTCAATAATGTGGAAAATTTTGTTTCAAGATGTTGCTCTCTTTGCTCTAAAGTGTTTGCGGATCTTCCGTGGTGTCGAACCGACCGACTTAGTCTGGGAAAGCATAATTTCACGAGTTTTCCTTTTACTTCCCAAGACCACGGCTTCATTTTTTAAGCTCAAACCATGGTGTCATATAAATCTACGAAAAATTATCCGTTTTTCCACGCGCATTAATTTTGCTTAAATGTTGTTAGGGGTCCTCTATTCGCAAAAAAAAACGTCTAACTTTTTTGAGAAGCCCCTTAACTTTTTTGTTTTACTACATGTAGCAAAACACCCAACCCTCCTAACAGTGTTCTATTACCTTCTTCCTGGTGTTCATTTAGAAGCGCGAGTAATTTAAGCGGGGAAGGGACTAAATTAACTTTCTTAAAGTGCTCAGATATGTACTGTGCAATTACACCGCTAACGGTGTTAATATTTTTCTGTGTGTAGACTCATGCTCATTGCTCATGGCGACTGTGACATTAGTGGCACGGACCAATCGGCTCACCTTTTCACCGCTGTCCGATGGCAAGTAGAAGACGAGCACGGTAAGGAACGAGATGCCCATGCAGGGAATGATGAGGTTGACCGTATAGAACAGCGTCTTCCTCCTCATTGTAATGTTGAATGTGATATCCAGGTAAGGCTCGTTACAGCACGTGTAAAACTTCTCGTGCCTGAAAAGGAAAAGAGCAATGCAAAGCAAAACAATGGCAAATTAAGAAAAAAATATTACACAGAAAATATTTCACTGTTCGATAAGTCCGTAACAAAAGCGCAGGGAGTTAACGGCAAATGCTTTATTTGATCATGGCTGCGCCTACGACAGAACTATGCTGCTGTTTATCCTGAGTGGTACGCTGGAATTGTGAGTTGATTTGACCAACCTGGCGCTGATGAGTCTATGTTCTCTCACCTTATTGCTGGAACGTCCAAAATGTCCCACTCGACCGACAGGTAGAAATCGGTCAAATCGACCCCGATTTTCACCCTGTCGTCCGGAGGCTCCTCTTCTACGTGCCTCAGATCGACCTGAGAAACAGTGTGAACAGGCTAGCTGCAGGAAATTGAAATAACGCGGAAGACGACACGTTACATGATACACAGTCACGCTCGATGTTAAGCGAAACCGTGTCCCCAATCGACACATTATATCTTTTAGTCAGCGGCTGACTAGATTTAACGTTTTCATTAATTCGCACGGCGTATATGTGGGCGTGCGCATTTCTTTTCTATTTTTATCGCGTGTTCCCACTAAATACACCCCAATGACTGTCGCAGCAAAACGTCTGTTACGGATTAGAACCGAAACTACTTCCGAGATTGAAAGCAAGTTTCCTTTTCATATATGGTTGATGGCTGTGATGAGCATTGTTAGTATTATAGTTTTAGTGATGATGAAATAGCCTTTGCTCATACTTAATCGAAAAATGACGAAAAAACAAAATATATATATAAAGTGACTGATATTTCGCCCTTGTGGCTTCTTCAGAGTGAACATTTAAACCATTCATGTTTGAAGCAGAGATGGCGAACGTGCGGAAAACATTCTTTGCACCACCGATCACAAGTTGTTGCTACCATAAATAACAATAATCCAATTTTAACACGTTACCCTAAGTACTAATCCTAAATACATCGAAGTCAATGATACCTAAAATAAAAAAGGCATAATTTACGATCACGATCTTCTCCCAGACTGCCAGCATAGGTATACAGAAATAAAATGACGCATGTTGGCCTAAATAAGAACACACACGATCCCTGCACAATTACACATTTGACACCGGTACCGAAATTTAATAATTACAAGTAATTGGGTCCTACACCTCGTACTCAAATGTATCAACACATCACACCGAATACATTACAACATGTACATATACAAAACACATCGATCGATGGTTGACAAAACGTAATCGTTCAGTGGAGCAGTGGCCACGTGTCGATCTGGCCGTTCGACACGTGAGTCTATGAGTCTATGTTCTATGTTCTCCTTGTAATCCTTATGTTACAAATTAGCACTTACAATTGCCAATACAATTGCCAATTACTAATTCTTTCCAAGTTTCCTTTTCGTGAAAAAGAAGACGGGTCGACGCTTTATGCATCACCATCGCTCAATAGTCCGAGCCCCACCTGTTTTCCATCGTACGTCCATGAACCGAACTTCATGACGCAAGTCTGCTCGTCAAACGGAAAGTATTCGACGTCGATCTCGCACGAGGACTTGTAGATGGCCGGCGGCTTCCATTCCACCTTTCCGTCGGAGAAGAGCGTCGCTTTGGTGGCCAGCGTCACTTCGAAATTTCCATCGGCGCTGAAAACAGTAAAACTCTGAAGGAACTGAGTAGGTTGCGCTCTAAAACAGCAAAAAACGAAAGCAAATAATTTACCAGACATGCATATGACGCGCGTGAGGGTGGGTCATAGAAAAGAGGTAAGTACCTATCTAAGTAAACGAAGACATGAGTTTCTTCTTATGAACATCATTATAAAATGGAATCACTTTTCAGTAGGCACAGTACCTATGTATGTGTAATGAAATTAGTTAAATACATCATAACTTAGCATGCCGTTTGCCTATTAGTGTTTTTCTTTCCTAGCGCATTTTCACCAACAGAATTAAAATGTGTTCTTTATTAAATGTATCTGGCATTTTTTTTCTATAGGACATTTGTTTAATGCTCTTTGAAACGATGCTCCATTGATGTCGGTAAGCGCCAAAGAACTTTACTCACTTGTTGTACAGCACAATGTCTGGCCTCCATATGTGATCTGACGGCACGTGCAGCATGGTGACGCCTCCGTACTCGCCGGGCTCCCACTTCAGTTTGTAGTCCTCCCAGTGCTACGGAGAGGCGCGGCGTCAGCCCAACTGAGTGCAGCGAGAAGCGTAAACAGATGGACCAGCCACAGCAACACGAATTAAACGCCACGGGTCTCGACAGAGTGGCTGGACCATGGACGGACCAAACATGTGTAAAGAACGAACCACACACAGCGTGGGTTTATTTTACTAATTATTTCCATAACGGATCGAATCCCCATGTTCCCATTCCCTGAAATCTCCAGCTATAATAGCATAGGGTAAAAATTACGCCACCCAAACAAATGTTAGTTACGCTAGCTGCTTGCATGCCGTTTTCTTACCTGCTCGACCCAAAGATTCGTTGTCATGATTTGATTCTTCAAATTCTGAAATAGAGGACAGCACATCAATCAGCGGGCGTCACTGCAGTGTATGATGTGTATTGCGTGTAATCAATTATCCCTCAACACATAGGCCATCGGCGACTCCATTGGCCAAACCTTAAGTGCCACAGGCTGACAACATCTCTCGTAGCTCGCTACGGTGCTATAGTTCCGAAGATAATCTGGGGGCGTCACCCTCCCCTTAAATCAATGACATTCGGCTGGAGGCACAGTCAAACGCGGGTTACTGTTGAAACCATATTCCCTTTCTGCCTTTGGCAGAACATGGTGGAGGAAGCCTTCTTTCTATCCGAGTCATCGCTCTGCCGTCACGAAACATGAATTATTCGCCTGCCGTGTATAATCGTTCTGGGCTAATTATCACCTGTCATCGCACTGTATCCCTCTCGGACGGTAGCTGAGCGATGGTGCTGGTATAACCCCCGCTCCTCAGTCGCAGACCGCTGTGCGAGGCCAGGGGAGCGGTACAGCGGCCTCTGACCGGGGTGGGCGGGGAGCGAGCTCCCGGCGTCTGATCGCTGATCAGCCCCCGGGGACACATCGGATAGATATGACAGGGAGGGGCCCCTGAGGCCAGTGGCGGTCGCAGGGGGGGGCCATCAGGGCCATGGCCCCCCCCCAAAGCCAAATCAGGGGGGGCCATCATATCATTTGGCCCCCCCCAAACAACCGATGGGCCCCCATGGCCGTGTGGGGCCCTGGCCCGTATTCGATTGTCACGAGGCTCGAGAAACCCACGCCAGCTATTAACAGCTCCCATACCAGTCTTTGAGGGTCCTACACTGACCTCTGAGGGCCCTTCAGTGGCGGTCAAGCGTCCACATTGACCGCTGAGGACCCACATTTGATTGACCTCTGAGGGCCCTCCACTGGCCTTTGAGGGCCCCTAAACCGGCCTCAAGGGCCCAACCGGCGTCTGAGAGCCTCACACCGGCCTCTGGTGGCCTCATTTCTGTCTCTCGAGTCCCAAGACTAGACTTTAAGTGTCTCTGAGGGCCCCGCACTGGATTCTGAAGACCCGATGCCGGCCTCTAAGAGCCCGCATCGGCCTCTGGGGGCCCATCTTGGCCTTTGAGGGCCCTCCGCTGGTCTCTGGTGTCCAACGCCGGCCCATGCCGGCCTTTTAGGGCCCCACACTGACCTCTGAGGGCCCATGCTGGCTGGCCTGTAAGGACCCACATTAGCCTCTGAGGGCCCCCGCACTGGATTCTGAAGACCCGATGCCGGCCTTTAAGAGCCCGCATCGGCCTCTGGGGGCCCATCTTCACCTTTGAGGGCCCTCCGCCGCTGGTCTCTGGTGTCCAACGCCGGCCCATGCCGGCCTTTTAGGGCCCCACACTGACCTCTGAGGGCCCCATGCTGGCCTGTAAGGACCCACATTAGCCTCTGAGGGCCCCCGCACTGGATTCTGAAGACCCAATGCCGGCCGCTCAGGGCCCGCATCAACGTCTGAGGGCCCATGGCTTGGCCTTTGAGGGCCCTCCGCTGGCCTCTGGGGTTCAACGCCGGCCCATGTCGGTCTTTTAGGGCCCCACACTGACCTCTGAGGGCCCCATGCTGGTCTGTAAGGACACACATTAGCCTTTGTGGGCCCCGCACTGTATTCTGAAGACCCGATGCCGGCATCTAAGGGCCCGCATCATCCTCTGAGGGCCCATCTTGGCTTTTGAGGGCCCTCTGCTGGCCTCTGGGGTCCAACACCGGCCAATGCCAGTCTTTTAGGGCCCCACGCTGACCTCTGAGGGCCCGTGCTGGCCTGTAAGAACCCACCTTAGTCTCTGAGGACCCGCACGGACTTCTGAAGACCCGATGCCGGCCGCTCAGGGCCCGCATCGGCGTCTGAGGGCCCATCTTGACCTTTGAGGACCCTCCGCTGGCCTCTGGGGTCCAACACCGGCCCATGCCGGTCTTTTAGGGTCCTATTCTGACCTTTGAGGGCCCCATGCTGGCCTGTAAGGGCTCACATTAGCCTCTGAGGGCCCCCCACACTGGATTCTGAAGACCCGATGCCGGCCTCTAAGGGCCCGCATCGGTCTCTGAGGGCCCGTCTTGGCCTTTGACGGCCCTCTACTGGCCTCTGGGGTCCAACGCTGGCCCATGTCGGTCTTTTAGAGCCCCACGGTAACCTCTGAGGGCTCCATGCTGGCCTGTAAGGACCCACATTAGCCTTTGAGTGCCCAATTCGGTCTCTGATGGTCTCAAACTGCCCTTTGCAGGCCCTGTACTGGTCTCTGATGGCCCTAAACTGGCCCCTATGGGCCCAAACCAGCCTCTAAAGGTCCCACACCGGCCTTTGATGGCCCTATTATGTTCTCTTGGGGGGGGGGGCTCAAGCCTTACCTTTGGGCGTCACGCACTTGCCTCTGAAGGCCCACATCAGCCTCTGGGGCCCTACCTGGGGCCTTTGAGGCCCTTCGCTGACCCTTGGGTCCAACGCCGGCCTCTGGGGGGTCTGACACCGTACTCTAAGGGCCCCATTGCAGCCTCTAGGCGATAGGTATCGCCGAAGCGCTATCGATGGGCCCATAAGTGTAGGAACCATGGGTGCAGTGGGCGCAGTTGCACCAACAATAATTCTGCAGTGGGTGCAGACAATGTATTCTGCATCCACAGTAATCTGGAACAAAACCCCTTTTCTCAGCAACACTACTTTCCATGCAGCACGACAAATTTAGGATATTTGGCCCACTATCCATCTTCCGAAGTATTGGCTACTGTAATGGCCTTCAAAACTTACATTTGTGTTCAAGTAAAAACAAAAAAAGATGAAACGGAACACATGTGATTGAACAGTGAACAGATACCGATGACCCACTGTCAAAAGTTTTAGCACGATGATCTTAGAAAATGGCAAAGTTAGCCGCGCCGCCTTTACTTTTGCGGTAGTCCATCAACAGTTGCGTGAATTATTGACAATATCAATGTTTCAAAATGTACTTATCGGTACCTTTTCGACATGGTACACCCTCAAAGCTCGCATTTCGCAATGAGCCTCCTCTCGGGTGCCGCTCACTACCCCCCCCCCCCCCCCGCTTCACCGGCCATGGCCTGGATTTCTGCACCCGTGCACTACGTCCGTGGGCCCCTTTAAGCTAGCACCGGGCCCCCCGGGTCAGCGCAGGGGCCCCTTTGACAAGTTGGCCCCCCCCCCCAAACTCCAAGTCTGCGACCGCCCCTGCCTGAGGCCGACCAGGGACTCCCGCCCCGCGCTCCCAGATCGGGCACAAACCTCACAGGACGGCTGATATTGACCGTCTCCGAGACCCGGCTGCGGTTATACATTGAGAGTTGCACTAAAAACTACATTACTGCACTGCGGTTTTTGTATGGGATTCGGTAACATTTCTGGTGGGACGCAGAGGCATTCTGCTGGGAATTAGACAATTCAAGAGTACGGACGCACGATGGGCAAATATAGTGGTGGATATTACAGCCACAGAGCAGCTGTTGGTAAAGCACCTCCACGCCTAGATCCGTGCTGATAATCATCGTATAGACGCACTATGTCATCTCCGATAATCATGTGCACCCCAATAAAATCCAACACAAAAATAGACCAGCATACAAAAGAATGAAATCGCACTCTTCTTCAAAATTGCCTTCCCACGAAATCCAAACTATCAGCAAAGAACTTCAACTGTATGGCGGTAAAGCACATTAAAGCCTACTGCGTCCATTCGTGCTATCCCGCGTCAAGTTGAAGTGCCACGGCCCGTATGACTATCACGGCAGCCGGCGGTTTAGAGCGCTCTAGGGAAGCTCCGGACCTCCTAAAGCCGGCCTGCAAGATCCCTCGGGAGCTGACTGTTCGTCCTTTATATACCGCCGCAACGGCCAGTTAAAAACCGACAGACAGCTCTACGGCGGTGAACTGAGAGTCCAGCTAAAAACCGACGGACAGCGCTGCGGCGGTGAGCTGAGAAGTGAGAGTCCAGTTAAAACTTAAAACCGACAGCCAGCTCTACGGCGGTGAGCTGAGTGTCCGGCTGCACCGGCCAGTTAAAAACCGACAGCCAGCTCTACGGTGGTGAGCTGAGAGTCCAGTTAAAACCGACAGACAGCCCCGCGGCACGCATGAAGGACCGCTGATGGCTTTTTAGTAATAGATTGTTAAACTAAAATGATGGTTTGTTGTTGACACTTCTCAATGCGATTAGCGATACAACTATTTCAGCCTTCAGATGCTCAACCATCCATCTAAGATATTATTGAAAAAGGCCGTAATATTCCATATAAGCTTCGATGGAAACTGCATTTCAATACAAATGCTATGGCTTTCTACAAATCAACTATTGAGGCCATTATTTCTTTGATACCTGCTTCAGTGCAAATGTTCGAGCAATTTAACGACATCAGACAATCCTGACTCAGCACTTCATGGAATATAGATCAGACGTTCACCAGTCAGAGAGCAACAGCCTTCCGCCATCCCACTCACTGCAGCGCCCTCGGAAGGCGGCTGCAGGTGGGGCGGCCCACTCTGTGATCAGCGGCCGAATATCGATGAAGCTCGCCCGACTGCCAAGTGCCGACTTCAGACGGCTCGCAGAGATGAAGGGATTGTTGAGCACGACCTGAATGCTACCTCATTTCCTCGGGCAGTGCACGCGCCTCACATATCTGGATGTCATATGGTTGTCGCCCGCTGGATTCATATGTGAGGTACCGTGCATTGTACAAGCTTTGCAATCTGCTCATGATGACTAAAACACATCCTTAGTTAGAAACAGGATATTGGATATTATTATTATCAATATGTGACATGAATACAATTCGGTGAATGAAGCAGATGATAGTTTTTCCTACGCCGATCAGCTAAGAAAATAAGTACATCTGTGCCGTTCTAAAGAACGGTGCGTTATGAGCCTCACATCCCAACAAGTGGCGTGGCTAATAAGTAGCTCAAAGTTACGTTCAAATCCGGTCGGATATAAAGATTATAGATATATGCTGAAACGCAGACATATGCAATGTGCAATGTGCATGGATCCGAGAAAATGGATCTAGGATCTGATCCCACGGATCCTGAGCTCGGATCTGAGATCATCAATTCAACTCTTTAATTTATCGAGAGATCCATTGGGATCATCGATTCGAGTCTTTTTTCTGGAGATCCCGTAAGATCATAGATCCTCACTTATTTTTGTGAACACTCAAACAGTAGCGGCGGAGCACCTTCAATTAAGGGGGGGGGGGTGGCACCGCCAACTTTTGGTCCCATTCTCTCCATGCAAAGCCCATAGGGCTAATGTTAAAATGCCAAAATCAAAGGGGGGCACGGTGCCCCGGTGCCCTCCCCGTTCCGCCGTCTATGCACTCAAATACTGAATATTCACTCGCTGCAACTCACAAAAGTTCTGTTTTAGCTATTGTTTGTGACAACGCGTCATATTTTATAGTTTTCTGGTACTACGTCACTTATTGACATAGAAACACTTGGAAACCTGGTTTAAAATGTTGTGCATGTTGGGATCCACTCGGATGATATATCCATGCCCTTGGTTTATCTTCAGATTCCATGAGATCATAGATCTAGGATATATTTTCCACGCGGGATCCGGTAGGATCATAGATCCTAACATGCAGTTTGCTTTGAGATTCACTGAGATCATAGATCACTCAGATCCATGCAATATCTGCTAAACAGCCATAGGAGACATGTGTTTGAGGACGATTTGTGGCTACTTTGACAAATTATCTCGACAAATTATAGAAATGCTCGCGATCCAAGTTATACATGCACCGAGGGGAATGGACCAGTTAGTGTAATCTAACTCCAAAAAAGTTTTATTTAAATTCTCAGTTTAAACAGAAAAAGGTTCAGCTGGAGGTGCCTTACCACGTCGATGAGCTGGGACAGTTTGAGTTTGATTTTGACGGTGAGCGGGTCGGTGACGTTGACCACGGGCCGCACCAGCTTGTTGTAGTTGGAGAGCAGGTCGTCGTAGAGCCGCTTGGCGTCCGGGTTACCCGCGCAGCCTGTGCGCACCAGACAGCCGAGGGTGAGTGTGAGTAGCAGCCACCACTGAGGAGGCGGCGGCACCGAGCGGCCGCTGACGGCCATCGCTCCGCGGCCGACCGCGCGGCACTGCGCCGCCGGGCCGGCCCACACCGGCCAGCCGAGAGCCGACCGACACCCGGGACGACCGCGCCGCGCCGCCGCCAGACACCCGAGACAGACGCCACCACCACCACCACCACCACCACCACCACCACCACCAGTCATTGTCACCGTCAGACAGTCATCACCACCACCGTCACCGTCACCGCTATCCCCTCGTACGGAATTACCCAGCACAGCGTCACAGGCACATGAACCAGCATCCGTCACCACTGCGTCAGCACCCCCGCCACCGCCTCACACCACCCTGTACTCCATACAACCACCACCACCACCACCTCCCTCAACTCCCCCTTACACAACCATACACATGACGACTCAAATGCTATACCTACCAACAGCCATGATGGCATTCTTTCGCCGGATAGGATAGGTGACAAAATGATTGCATAAATAGTCATTTAGATGGCAAAAACAATCATTTGGAAGTTTACTGCAGTCGTACATACATAGCTTATCTACATAGATCTATTAGCTTGAAATGCTAAATTGCGTTATTGACTGTCTGGTAAACATTGATTCCCCTGTCGCCAGCTTTAACATTCATTTCTTTCGTCAATGTACATACAGTTGTGTTGATTTTCAGCTGCATGTGCCTTTAGGAGCTCACTTCAAACACAATGATGCGTCTAAAAACTACACCTTTACCGGCTATGATCATCAATGTAAGACAATTAGCCATTATCCAATCCAGCTAATGGCACTACGTAAGAAAAATTAATTTCAAATGCTATTAATATGGCGCAAAGAGTTCGAAGTTCACAACAGTGGCAAGAAAAGCACGAAGAGCAATCTCTTAAATAGAAAAGTTTCAAAGTTCTAGCTTACATACATAAATGCTACAACTGCCTGAAGTGAGCGTGGCCTCCGGCTGCTTTTCATCCGCAGACCCGGGGGGATGAGGCGCTCCACGCTTCTGTGGCCGGCGGCTACAGAGCACAACATACTTCGCTGCAGCGCTTGGAGGCCGGCTTTAAAAGAGAGTCTGGCGCGTCTCATATGTACACGTTCATAGTGACGATAATCGTTTCTGATCTTTTAAGTCCTTTCCTACCGTTGTTTTACTTTTGCTTGTATCAGTGTGTTCGGTCAATCAATGTTAAAGGTAGTGTGCCAGCTTTCCTGGACCGTATGGAGTTAATGGCCCAGATAAGGAGAACCGGATTTTTAGAACTTATCCATACCTTCAAAACTCATGGAAACGTCTTAAATTCTTCAAATTTTGAGTACCCCAGTGCGAAATTCGCCCCGACGGGTTGTCGGTCGTACCCCAACCACATTTCACACCACTATGAACAATAAATGCACACACTGAAATCGCTATTACCGATAGGCTCATCCAATCAAGTTTCGATAAACCCGTTCATCATCATCTCCTGCGGTTTCGAACACGCCTGTTACGTGGTGCGGTAGACCGCGCCCAAAGCCAGGGTCCCGGTAACGTGAGGTAGCCGAGTCGGGGCAGCGTGCGCTGACCCAAGCCGGGGCCGCGCGTCCTCCCGGTGTCATGTGATAGCCCGGGGCTGCCCGCGGGGATGCGATAGACCGCGCCCAAAGCCGCGGCCCCGGCTTGGGTCAGCGCACGCTGCCCCGACTCTGCTACCTCACGTTACCGGGGCCCTGGCTTTGGGCGCGGCTTCTGCTCATACTTTGTGGTGCGGTGGTGGTGCGTCGGGCCGCGCGCTCTGACTTCGGCCAAGAAAAATGCGTCAGCTGATCATTGTCATTTCTGCCACTTTCATGTGGTGAGATGGGGTCATAAATTTAGAGACAGCTGTTTCATATCAATTATTTTACATAAAATAATATTTCAAACCATAAATTAATGTTCGACAGCCAAATTAAAGAAACAATACCAATACAGGCTTACAGTTTAAGTTCGACATTGTGTTGTCTACGATTAGACAGCTGATAACTCATTTCCGTACGTCGTAACTCTATAATGACCTTTGCTTATTGTCACATGTGCGCCGCATTCGCGATTGTTGCCGACGCCTGTTTGCAGTTGAGCCTTCTACAGTTGTTATACATATAGAAAAACCGATAAACTTTTAGGCGAAAAAAGCACTATTCCAGGCCCATTTTTTATTTTTTTTTTTGCAATATTAGGTAAAAACAGAAGCTTCTAATCCTAGGAAAAATAAAATGGGAAATCTTTTAAAGGTGGCACACTACCTTAAATTCCTTTTTGCTTTCAAACGCTAATTACCTTTCCACCACACCTACAAAGGTTATAAGTGACACTTTTTTTAACCTCATAGTGAACGAACATCAATAAACGCCCATTATTATTGCTATTTTTCTTCTTTAGCCACAACCAATGCGCATGACTATAATGTTCTGGCCATCAAGCCGAAAACAACTTTAAAGTGCCCTCACTCGCACTTACACCAGCTTGATTTAGAAAAAAAAACTAGCGTTATCATGGAACAGTCGGCGAGCTTCAAGTCAAGGTTGTAAACTCGCCTGTTTTACTGACTTAACCAGGAGCCTGCCACTAATAGGGTTAAGACGAAATGAGTATAAATCAAACAACGAAAGACGAAAATGAGTATAGCTGCTGAGCTCATTTTCCCACAAGGTTCGACCAAACTTATTTAGCTATATTTACTCATTTACTCGAATGTAGTCTGGCAATAGGTATGTTCGTATGTGACGTTAATTTTCTGACACCTGTGGCACTCCCATCCAATGAATATAGCGCCTCGTTCATATTCCCATGCCAACCGTCTAATAACTTTCGTAAAACGAAACCACACGGGCAACATCCTGAGGGGCAAAACACAACACTGTGATGGCTGGGACACAAATAGAGCGCGACAGCCGGCGCGGCGGTGTGACGGAGGGGCGGCACCGCCTCCTCGGGCGCCTCAGGTGTGGTTCTGCCGAGGTTCATATTTCATCTGGTATTGATCCCCGGACAGGGTGGCGGCGGACGACCGGGTCCGGACCGCGCTGTCACAATTGAGACCGCTCGTCGACCATACGGCGGCCCGGCGAGCGGTTTGGCGCCCGCCGACTGTCACTACACGGGCCGGCGACCGACGACGGACTGGTATTCTCAATGCTGCTAACTTAGCAGCTCTTAGAACGAGAAAAATGCAACTTACATAGACATAGGTTCACATATAGGTATAGGTAGCGGAAATGACGTTAAATAAAATAATACGACATTCGTCTCCGACGGCATAGAGTTATTCGCCTCCGAAACGCCCGAAGACTGAATAGGTAGGCTGTCCCGCAAGGCACAACTGCTCTCCGGGACAGTCTACCGTTCGCTGAGTGACGCTATGCGGCCCGCTTCAACAGACACACCGCTATCTTTTCTGGTGATAAGGAGCTTTACTGTTTAATGCGCATCTTTCAACCGTCCGACTATTAAAGGTAGTGTGCCACCTTTGAAAGATTTCCCATTTTATTTTTCCTAGGATAAGAAGCTTCTGTTTTTACCTAATATCGCAAAAAAAATCAAAAATGGGCCTGGAATAGTGCCTTTTTCGCCTAAAAGTTTTCGGTTTTTAGATATGTATAACAACTGTAGTGGGCTCACCCAAGATTACTTTACTTATAAGGTTAGTTCACTAAAGAATTTTTGCCGCCCAGGTGACGTCACATAATATGGTAGCGATTTGGTAGCCGTTTGCAAATACATAAATGCCTTGCGTGAGACATTTATAATGCAAGGTATTGTTCAAGGCCGTATAGGCCGTATATAGGGTATTGTTTGTGGATTTTGCCTTAAAATAGATAGTGATAATGGGCAAATTTGCGATTTTAGATCGGACTATTGAGGATTCAGACGACTCTAGCTTTATTTATCAGATCGCTTATAATATCACCAGGTTTTCTGTCATTATTTTCACTTATAGTGTCTGTTCACCAGAGGTTGGTTTGTAGGTATCGCACAATGAAATTGAAATGCTGATGAGTGATTAAAGTTTTATTCAGCTATGAATATTTTTAAATTTTGGGTTGAGCATGGCCATCAGATATGCAATAATTAGCCCTCATAACAATGCTGCATTGGCTATATTGACAAAGTGATGGTCTGAGCAATGTACACCAATTGCCTCTTTAACAGTTTTTGACATGTTTCAAATTGTATAATCTAGTAAAATCATGCATTAGAAAAAATTTGGTAGTCGGTAAGCAAGCCCCACACTTGTTTTTCCAACCAGGGAGGGGCGCTCTACCCAGAGATGCCTGCTAATCAAGTCAAACCAAACCAAACCTAACCAAAACTGGCCTAACCTTACCTACAACCTACAATCTTAAACCTACAACCTAAAACCTACCACCTTAACCTACCCACCACACTAAATCCGCACTGCACCAGGCCATTAGCCAAATCCGCTCCGCACCATGCCAAATCCGCACCAGCCGAATAAGCCCACACCAACAAGATCTCGTCGAAGTTACCATATTTGCAGATTGGCTGCTCCAGTACACATTCATTATTCATGGTTTTGATATGACGTTCAAGATATCTTTTGCTGGATTATATGTAATATGAAATTGAAATAGCTGTGCAAAATGTGCCAGACCATGTTTCTAAGTGACTTCAATGATTTAGAAGTTAGAACTTCATCACTCACTGGTCTTCTTATGTTAGGAACTGTGGGCAGCATGGGCACAGTCTAACGTAGCTAATGAACCTGCAGTTCAGCTTCAGCCTTACATTTAGGTTTCCTGAGTGTGCAATATGCATTCAAAATAGATGTGTTTGGAATGGACGAAGAAGGTGATGGTTCTTTGTGCTGAAAATGTTTAGTGTTGTATTCATATTTCAGCATAGTTCTTCAACTCAATTACTTGACCCGTCCCGGTCACCCATTATCTCAAGAGCTTAGAGCACTGT